AATAATTTAAACCACTCAAATATAAGTAAAAACAAATTCTGGTGAAAATCAAACTACAAAAAGTGTCTTTAAATATTTTAAAATTAGAATGGAATACAAGCTTCCATTAACAACGCAAACTCCATCAATTTTAGACGACCAAAGGCTAATTATTCAAACAGAGAAATGTTATAAAAAAAGAAAAGTCAAATGTGAAAAGAATAATGAAAAAAAAACAGAAGATTGGAAAAAGAAGCTGAACAAAATACATAACCATATCTACAATTTTATAACATATATTTCTAATTTTAATAATGAAAATGAGTATTGAAATATATCCAAAATAATAATAAAAAAAAAAACATTCTCAACATATTATTAATCTTTATTAATCTCTGTTTCCTAATCAATCAAACTTTTTTAATAAAAACATGATTTCAATATTAAAATAAAACAAAATCCCATCTATAGAAACAATTTTAAAGATGTATTTTGAAACAAAATATACATTAAATAATAACTCATAGGTTGTGATGTTTTCATTCTTTAACCAACAATATAACAACACATAACAAACAATAAACTAAACATAAACATTAAAACAAAAATGTACAATAACAAAAAAACGTATAAAAAAAACCCCGCAGCATCGCGCGGGTATTTATCTAGTAGTAATAATAATAACAGTCTCTAATTCATCAATAATAAATGTGATAGTGTGAGTATAACATATGAATAATTTGATTGTAAGAAAAATATATATATATATATATATATATATATATATAAGTTGATTGTGAATTAGTTTAAAATATTATTGAATTTCCTTGTTTCTATTTCAAATTTTAGTATTTTAAAACAAATAAAAAATCATTACGAAATAATAAAACTTGACACTATATATGATGTATTACAACACATGCTTAGATATTTCTTGCATAAGTTTTTTTTTTTTGTTGTTAAAGCATAAGTTCTTTGTATACTAGTGTCATTAATTTAACTCAAAGATGGTTCGATGGTAGACACGTGATCAATAGCTAAGTGAACGTGTATTATACAATACTATAAAGTTATAAACGTACCAATGTAGTCTCTTTTTCGTTTTCATCACGTAGCGAAGTAGGCATCCAAAGAAAAATGAATGTTTTTGTTGAAAATGTCCTAAAAGATAGAAAGTCTATAATCATCTTATATATTCGTCTGCTCGGTAAACAGAAGGTCGACTTTTTCAAAAAGTATTGTTAACGACTAAATATAAACTAGATACACACTAAATATAAACACCACAAAACAAAGATTATCTCGTTTCTTATTTTTATTTAGAAACTAGATACACACTAAATATAAACACCACAAAATAAAGTAATATGCTATACAAGATTTCATACACACAACTTTATCTTGAGGGTAACGTGTCCTATTTTTCTTCACACAATAAGTGATAGCTTCCTCAACACAACAAGTGATAGTTGACTAAATACTCCTACTTGCTACTTTGGTATTCTCGCCCAAAGGTCATATTGGGAGGATCTAGAAACCTTGGCTTCCTTTCTTTTAAATCTTATCCGAACTAATAATTATGTCAAACATACAAAACAACATATTTAATAAATATTGTTATATGAAATTTTAGTAATTGTATTTTTATTACCTAATATCAAAAGTACAAGTACAAAAACTAAATTTAAACTAAAGTACTATTGATCCTATACTATTATTTGGGGAGTACACTTTATAAGATACCCTTAACTAACCTTCCCTTTTGTAAAAATTTACTTAAGAATGCCATTAGAGATAAAATTTCAAAGAGTAAATTAATTCATCTCATTAAGGATAAACAAGTCAATTTATACAATTTAATTAATTTAATTTAATTATAAAAACGAAAAATACATTATTATTATTTTTAAATGACCAATCAAAATGAATATATAAGATTTGATATCTAACTTACCTTATTAATTTGTTATTAATCAAAATGAATATATATTTCACCTCTCATCTTTATATGATTATATTATTGTGAAACAAATAAATCATCATATCATCCATATTATAATAAAAAATAGATTTTTTTCCGCATATGCCATGATTTGAATTTTTAAAAACGAATATAAATTATTCAATTTATGAAAAAAAAATTAACGAATCAAAAATTTAGACTTGGATAATATATTTATTTTAAACAAAAATAAATTCAACAAAAATTTCGCCTGAATAACGGGTCAGAATTTGAGTAATTATATTCAATTTCATATATTTTTTAAAAATATATAATTTTATATACTACTATAAATTTTTAAATATTTTAATTTGGAATATTTAAAAATAGTTTGACTTGATATTTAAAAACAAATATCATCAATACTTAATAAATAAAAATTTTAAAAATTAGACATACACTAATTTGGTTTTCCTAAAACAAATATATTTAAAAATATTTATAATAGACGGTAGGTTAAATATAATGTATTATATGATGGAATGAGTTATGATCCTTATAACTAGGCCTGGGCATAAAATCCGAAATCCGAAAACCGATCCAAAACCGATCCGAAAAAATCCGGCTCCGAATCCGAATCAAATAGTCACAAAACCCGAACGGATAATGAATTCTCCTATCCGAATTATCCGAACCGAACCCGATCCGAACCGAAAACCGAAAGGATATCCGAAAACCGAAAATAAAATTATATTTCCAAAAATATTAGTTATATTTAGCTATAATTTTATAACAAATAACAAAAATATCCTAAATAACCTAGATATCTGAAAGTTTTTAGTTATATTGTTAAAATTATACATATTTTTGGAAAACTTAGCCAAATTTTAGTAAGATTAAAACTATTTTTTATTTAAATTGAACATTTTTTTAGTTTTTTTTCCTCGCAAACCGATCCAAAATTAATCCGAAACCGATCCGAATCCGACACTATCCGAACCGAATCCGATCCGAATAGTCATAAAATCCGAACGGATAATAAAATCTCCTACCCGAATTATCCGAATCCGAATAAATCCGAACCGAATCCGATCCGAAATCCGAATGCCCAGGCCTACTTATAACTATTTGAATATTTATATTTAAGTTCATACAATTATTATTTAAAAATTCTTAATTTTATATTCTACAATAAAAAATAAAAAAAATATTTTAATCTGGAAAAATTTTAAATAGTTTAATATAATATTTTTAAGAATATCATAAATATTTAATAAATCAAAAGATAAAAGTTATAAATATTCTAATTTTATTTTTCAAAGCATAAATATTTTAAATATTTATAGCAAGCAGCAGGTTAAATTTAATGTATTATATGATAAAAAGAGGTATGATCTTTATAACCGAAACCATGTTAAGATTATATGATGAGATGAGTTAAATAAGGTTTGACACCTCTAAATATTTAAAATTTTGATTCTATAAGTATATATGAAAATAATGAATGATGGATTGTGCACACAATTTTTTCATTGGGATTCTAAAATAAAAATATAGGTACGCACGGGTTGAATTTAATCTTATTATATACCAAAATATGTTTATTATATACGCAATTTTTTTTCACTTACTACTAGCATATATCAAATACATACGTTTTATTTTTAACCAAAAAAACGTAAAAAACCGTAAAAATCGAACTATAACTAAACCGAATTACATACGGTTTCTATATGGTTTCACTTTCTACAAAACGAAAAAACGATACTAAACCGAAAAACCGTACCCCACCCCTAATATTTTCTCATCAAACAAAATAAAATAAAACAAAAAATCCTTATATGTCATTGTATTATGTAAAGAATTATTAAAATTGTACTAAAAAACAAACAATAATCCAACTTTATATAAATATTTAAAAATTAAAATTTCATCCGTGCTGTTCCTGCACGGGTTATGATCTAGTTATTAGTTTAAAATACCAAAATACAACTGTGTTCAGACTCATACAACTATCATCTTGAGTAAAACTCTTTAGAAAATTTGGAAATATTTAACTATTTTTTTAAACATGTGGTCTTTTTCTAGCAACATGTGTATGTTTTACGGCGCTATGTGTTAAACATGATTTAAGTTTTTTAATTTATTTTAATTTTATTTTTTAGTAATACTGTGAAGTAGATAATAATTTCGATTTTTTTTTTAATTCGGAAAAATAATTTTTAACTTTGTAAATTTTATATGTCGTGGTACAAATAGGTACACCCTGGTACAACTAAGTTTTAATTTAAAATTTGCAACTAAATTTTTTTTAAAATTGAAAAAAGTCACCCATTTCTATGTTAGTGAATGCATACATTAAGACATATCAAATTTTAACATACATTACTGTATTGTTACTTTTATGGTTCATTTGTATAGTAAACATTCATTACACTTTGATTGTTACTTTGTAAATTTTAACCAAGTAATTATGTCAAACATACAAACAACATATTTTACAGATATTGTTATATGAAAGTTTAGAAATTGTATTTTTATTACCTAATATCAAAAGTACAACTATAAAAAGTAAATTTAAACCAAGGTACTACTGATTATTAGTTTAAAATACCAAAATACAACTGTGTTCAGACACATACAACTACCATCTTGAGTACAACTATTTACAAAATTTGGTAATATTTAACTATTCTTTTCAAACATGTGTCCTTTTCCACCACCATGTGTTTGTTTTTGTGGCCATGTGTTAAACATAATTTTAATTTTTTTTAATTTATTTTAATTTTATTTTTTACTAATGTGTGACCAAATTGCTACACTTTTCATTTGTGACGGTTTTACAACCCACCAAATTTGCCGGGTATTTTTCCCCCCACTCAAAATTTTGTTGCGACTGAAATGTGACCCCTCTAATTTTCATTTCTATTCTAATTTGGCCCCAGTTAACAAAACCCTAAACTTCTTTTATTTTGTGTTTTCTCTCTTCGACTTTGAAACCGGGAATTACAGACTTCTCCGATCTTCTCTCTTTATCTTCTCCGGCTTCTTTCTCTTCGTCTTCTCCATTCTTACAACCAAAAGCTCTCTCTTCTCAATCTAATGCCGAAAGTAAGAGGTGCTGCTCGTCGTGGTAGATCCAGTGGAGGTGGTAGATCCGGTGGAGGTGGCAGATCTAGCGGAGGAACTGGATCGTCCTCTCACTCCTCCAACCCCAACCCTTGCTCAACCGAAACAACTTCAGTTTCTCGCCGTTATCTTCCGGCCCAATTTACGGAATTGTTTCTTCGAGTGAGAATCGCCGTATTTCTTGGCGGAATTAGAGGAAGAATCGTTGAGATTCCGACGAAGGAGGGGATAAGATCTCCAGTCTCCACGAGTCACGACGCTGTAATGATTTCTCTTTTATAAGTCTTTACTTCGTCCTTACTACAGGCACCGAGCAAAAACCCTTTAATCATTCTGTTTTTTGTCTCTCTGCTTCAGTCTTCTTCGTTGTTCATCTTCGCGGCCACAACCAGGTTTCCGTACCTTCACAAGGTTCTTCTTTATAAAATCTTGGTCTCGTACTCAAGTTTTTGTATTTATCTCTAGTTCCTTAGTTGAAAAACTGGAACCACTTCTATGTTATTTGCTTGTTACAATGTTTGTAGATTGGATCTGGAGAATAGACAATTTTGTGGTTTCGATTTGCCGATTAATCTGTGGGTTAAATCATCTTCTTCAGTTCTTGCTCACTTCTAGTGTTGGGTTTAGTAAATTTTCACTTTTTATTTTATTTTTATAGCATTGGGTTTTTAGCCAAGGATTTGTAAGGTTTGATTTCAACTTACTTCATTTATAAGCCTCCCTCTTCTCCTTCTCTACTTGAATATACTTTTCTATTGGGTACTTGATTTTGTTGATTTTGGTTGTACAAATGCTATTTAACTGGGATTTTCTTAGAGAACACTTGTGTGCAGCTGTATAAACAGTGTTTGGGTTTATCAGTTTCATCTTATTGCTAGAATAATCGTAATCCTTATCTTTGGCTTTTGTTTCTTCTTTCACAAAGACTCGTGAGTTCAGTTAGATGGAGATAAATGAATTTTGAGAAAGCATCGCTTTATTGCCTTAACAGCTGTTGAATTCTTTGTTCTTTTTCTGATTAATTCCTTGACTACCAGTTTGCTGCTACATGCTACATCATTTAGTGTGGACTGTGAGTAATTTGCCAAGTTAAAATAACATTTCAGGTGTAAGAAGGGAGCATGCCTCTGCTGGGGCGTTCTTATTCTTGTCAGCAATCCTCTATGCTTTCTGGCGTATGGGAGTTCATTTTCCTATGCCTTCAGCAGATAAAGGTATCTATTTGAAACAACTGTAATCTTTCCCTGCCCCATACCAAGCTTTCTTTAGCTTTTATGAAGTGAAAGATGCATAGTTCTCCAACTCTAAACAATATTTTGCCATGTTCCAATGCAGCATCTGCTTAGAGTAATTCCTGTAATAGGAATATTGTGGGACAGAAAAGCATTCAATCCAACGCCAGTCCTGCAGAGGTGGAAGCCGTGTTTGTCTTATTTCTATGACTGTAACGTTTTGGTGATGTTAATCTGGATTTTGTTATACTTTTGCTGATTTTGATGATGTTAATTGTCTAGTTTTTCTCTTGTTTTTGTCTGGTTAATGTCTGGTTTTTGCATAAGTCTGGTTTTTGCTTATGTTTGGTTTTGAGAAGTCTGACTTATCTTTAGCATTGCTTACTAAAGCGTTTTTATTGCTTCTTATGTCTGTTTTTCTGCATCATTTTGTCTGGTTTTCTTAACGTTTCTTTTTGTTGCTTTAGTGTACCATAACAGCTGATAAGGGAAACCCTTTTGGACTTGGAAGACTTAGAGAGACTGTCAACAACAGGAAGAGAAAAGAAAGTTGTGCAAGCTCTTCATCATCCTTGTCAGAGATGCAAGAACAGTTTCAGGCTGCTCGTCGAAAGTTAGCTGAGCAAGACTTAATCAATTCTCAACGTGAGGCGGAGCAACGCATAGCTCAAAGTAGGATCTCAAGCTTGGAGATGATTGTCTCATACTTGAAGACCAATGATCCCCAATTTGCAGACTTTTTGGCGCGTCAACCACCAATCATCCCACCTGAAACTGACCAGCCACTAGAAAAGGCACTGTACCAGCCACTGGACAGGGCACTGCACCAGCCACTGCACCAGCCACTGCACAAGGCTCTGCACCAGCCACTGCACAAGGCTCTGCACCAGCCAAAGGATATCCCTTGTTGTTCTTCTCTTTCTTTTGTGCAGCCTGGTAATTAAGTAGTTCATATTTGCACATGGAATACGAGAAAGCCTCTAACCTACTCTAATTCTAGCGCCATGAAAGCTTGTAAAACCATGGTTCGAACAGCTCATGAGGATGATGGTCACTGGACCAAGAGTGAAGAATGCTGTCAAGTTGAGCAGAGTATCTGCTTACTGAATTCAGAACCTCCTATTGATGATATGATAGAGGATGACACCACTTTCCTTTTATATATCTCTGTTACATGTATACTCTTATCATTTGTATATAAAATATTTCCAACAATATTCTTTTGTTCTCCATTTTCTTTGAAGGTGTAAAGATTACTTTCTCGGCAGAGAATCTTATAGAAATATAGATGGAAAGTGTTTCTTGATTGTGATTGTTTGTTTGTGTAACGTTTATTTATATGAGATTTGTTTGTGTAACGTTTATTTATATGAGATTTGTTTGTGTAACGTTTATTTATATGAGATTGATTATTTTAAGGCATGTACTTTAGGTTTCAAGTTAAATGATTTTAAAGATTTTTTAAAGATTTTTTAAATGATTTTCGAATTTTGTAAAAGAAAGGTTAAAAAAAAAGGAAATATAAGTAAATATAACCAAATAACTCAAAAAAGACATAAATGTTTAATTATAATATTAATAATTACAAAAATAATAACAAAGTTATAATTTTAAAGAGTTTAGGGTATGGAGTTTAGGATTTAGGGTATAGGGTATAGGGTTTAGGGTATGAAATGTATGGTTTAGGTTTTTGGATTATATTTGTTTAAAATAGTAATAATATTAATTATAACAAATAATAACATAAATAAAATTCATTTTTAAAAATAGTTTAGGGTTTAGGGTTTAGTGTTTTAAATAGTAGCTAATATTAATGATATAAAGTATACTATTATAACATAAATGAATTATATTATTTTATTAATTATAACATCATTAATGTGTTTCAACAATATGATTTACACAATAAGAAGATTAGTGTACATGTATTATAAGACAATCATATCTGTTACCTTCAAATTCCTAAAAGCGTTGCAAAATATTTTTTTTAAATTGCGAAAAAATTATATAATCATGTAAATAACTTATAAACATATTAACTCGTCAATATATAATTTTTAAAAAATTATATAAATAGTGAAAACACATTTTTATGCCTATAAACAAAATAAGCCAATTATAATGTTTCACTCGGATTGCTGATGTGGCGAGATCTCAGCCATTCATCGGATCTAATTCATGATCAATTTACTCAATCCAATCAATAAGTAATACTCGGATATATGACGTGGCGAAATCTCATCCTTTCATTGCCCAACAAAGGCTTTGGCGGCTGCTTGTTTAATGAAATCTCATCCGTTCATCGCCTCTACATTCTCTTCATCCTTTCATCTTTTCATTCATCGCCTCGACATCGACTGAGAACAAAATTCAGAACAAAATTAATTCAGATTAGGTCTTCTCTTGGCTGATTCAGGAAAAAATCAAAAGAAACCCTTGAAATCAGTCTTTCAGTCTCAGGATCATTAGTAGTTTCTGATGATATTAAAACGTCTGGTCAATATTGAAGGTGTTGCGTATACTGGAGGGAGATATGATAATGGACGGCAACTTTGCATCAACTCCAGGTTCAGAGGCAGGCAACAGAAGTGGGCGGTTCTGGGCGGATCATTACAGCGGTCAGCTAACAAATGATGGGTCGGATAGGTTCAGTGAAAGGTTGTCTATTGAAACGCCAAGACTAGCTTTGAGGGAGAGGGAAAGAAGTCAAAGGTTCGAACTAAACCACAACAAGCAATACTAAAGATTAAGATTTAAGACAGCCAAGTAACTGTGTCTTTTGAAAAGTTTAGTTGAATAGCGTATTTAGTAAAGTCCCCTGTTTCTTAGTAACGTGGTCCAAAGCTGGCAACACAACTTTTTTTTTGTTTGTATAGTGGTGTAAGATGCAAAAACAATTGGTAAATATGCTATCAAGGAATCTGAAATTGTTTTTTGGTAAAGGGTATATTAAAAGAACAAAACAACTGTTTCAAATGTTTTTAAAAAACTTTCAACTTTCGTCACACTCGTTGTAAAACCGATATTTTTCTTTTGAATATAATTTAACATTAAATTCAAAAAAAAAAAAAGAACAAAACAACAAGAGGCTTTTGGAGAGTCAAAAGAATTGTTTTGCAGAGGAGAAAGAGGAACATGAGAAAACAAAACAATGAGAGGTCTTTCCTCAGTCGACATTGGAAATCGTCAAAATGTAATAATGATGTATGAGAGAGAGGTCAGCTATCAATCTGACTTTACCTGTCAATACAGTGATGCATAGGGTCCAGGGTATCTTTTCTACGTATCCTCATCGCCAATTAACAATTTTCTCAAAGTGAACAAAGATAAAACTATGTAGGGAATACACACAAGAAAATCCCAAAAGTGGCGAGGACTTTGGTGGGGCTGTGATTAAATAACATTCAGACGTTCCATGGATTTTAGAGATCTTAATATTAGATTTTGGGGTCTCGAATAAATATATACACATATATTTCTAAGTGTCAGCATAGAAGATCCATTCTTCATGACAACAAATAGTAAGTGTTGTTTTGAATAAGAAAAATACAGCTCTCATTTGCTTATAATCTCTAAATCCTGTTCTCCATTTCAGAAGTGAGGCTTTGTGGTTATGATAATCTTCTACTGTTTCCTCATCTTGGATCTTGCATATCTGGAGAAAACAAGAACCAGAGCGTGACATCAGACAACCATGACTGTAGTGTAATAATCAAACAACATGTGAATTTAACGGTAATCAAGAAAATGTTGAGGATGTAAGAAAAACTACTCTATATGCATGCCGCCTCGGTCTGAAGTTGATAAGAGGTTCCCTTGAAGATCATTCATGACATCGGTAGCTTGCTCGATTTCCTGTAATTAGAAAGAGTAATAAGTATATAGACTGCAAAGACAAAAGCATAAGCAGGTATAACAACTTATACCTCAAAGTCAGCAAATGCAACCGGCATTCCGCCTCTAGCTCGGATTTTTAAGATGTTGAAACCAGGATATCTGTAAGAAAATGGATCAGATCAACCGATACTTGGAAAGGCAAAAAGCAATGATATTTTACAAAATATTTAAAATCCTAATGCTAGAAGTTTAAGTCATTGCATAATATTACCTGGATAGGAGTTGTTTGAGTTCATCTTCTGTACAATTAGGCCCTAGATTAGCTATAAACAAGGTCGAACATGGTCGAGTACCAGAACCTCCTTCAGATGCTTTTTGCAAGTGCCCCTGTAGAAATGTGTCAATAAGCTACTGAACCATAAACAAGTCTATATATGGAAGTAACTTAAGAGTAACAAATATGATTTTCTTAATCTTCCACGAACTAGAGAAACAGAGATATCTACTGGTTGAGATAATAAGAATTGGCTTGTACTTACACTAGCAGATGGTGCTCTACTATCTGGATCAGAGTCCGGTTCGCTCTAAATTAACAAGGAAATCAGTATACATTAGTCTTCTGCTTTTGACATAGAGGACTACAAAACCAAGTTTCCATAATGGCCTTCTCAACCTTCTGGCATTATCGTTTTCCTTTGGAGACTCACTATTTCCAGGTTCTTGCGCCTCATCAGGATCGATATCCCCTAGATGTATCAACAATCAAGCAGAAACATCAAGCATTCATACATTTAAGAAACTAGGAATTCACAAGGTAACCAGCAGATTACCTTGATCACTCTGGTCGTCCTGAGATTTAGACGGTTTGTTGTTTCTGTTATCAATCATAACATAAGGACCACTTCCTGTCCACACAGACCGTTTATTACTCATCGATTTCTCTACCACACTAACTCAATAACAAGAAAACAGAGTGAAGTCTAAATACCTGGCCTTTCTTTTCTTCTAGAGTTTGATCTAGCTAGTTCTATATGTAGGGTTGATCCTGTTTGAGGATCAAATTTCACACCCTATAAAAAGAAGTTTCACCACGATCAAACACAGTACAATCTACACACTAGAAATTTTCAGAATATGATGTAAGAACATCATTACTGAGTGAGTCTCCAATGAGATCAAAGCGAAAAATGAAGCTTACATTTAGCTCATTCATTGCAGCCATAGCGAATCTATGACTCGTGAATGTTGCAAATGCCACAACCTGACATACCCATCAACACAAAAGAGAGGGAATTTCAGAAACCGTAACATCGATAAAATCTGTACAGCATTACTAAAAAAGGAAATCTAATAGTTCCACCAAAATTATGCAAAATACAACTTCTTGGAATCCGAAATTGGAGGAATTACAAACCTGGTCGCCTCGTCCAGTGTACTTGAGCTGACAAGACTCGAATCCGGGACGGCGGCGGAAGAGATTGTGGATCTCACGAGCCTTAACGTCGTTAGGCAGGCCAGAGACAAAGAGCGTGTTAATCGCCCCAGGTTCAGAGTTTGAAGGAGATCGTCAACTGTTCTGACTTAGAGATCTATGCGATGCTTGTTGAGTGCGATATGGATCCTGATGAAGCTGTTAATCGTCTCCTTACTCAAGATTCTTTCTTCAACCTTCCGTTGCTTTTTGTTCTCTTTTTTAGTTTCTAGGTTTTAGCTTCTCTAATTTGTTTAATGGAAGTTGAGCAGCGAAATAATCAAAACTTCAAAAGGGTTTCGAACGTGAACGGAGACGACGACGAGATTATAGTTTCTAGTCTCAGATCTCTCAACCGCCGGTGGATTTCTATCTATCATACTGTAGCTTTTTCAGAACTGTAGCATTTTGAGAAACCATGTCTGTCATGTTACTCCATCAGAAAATATTAAGTCATATTGTAATTACATGTAAGTCTACCTAATTACTCTATCGCATCGCGTAAGTCTACTGTCATTAACAGTACTGGTCCGTAATAACTCTACTTCGTTTACTTTAATCTACCGCTAAAGGATAAAAATCTAAAACGTAACTCTATCGTTCTTGTTAACTCTACTATCTTTTTTATCTCTATCATCACTATGACTACTAAGACCCTCTCCAATGTAGAGCTCTATATCTTACTCTAAAATAGAGTAGGGTTTCTCTCCAATGTATATCTCTATTTTCTACTCTAAAAAAAAATATTCTTAGAAATATTCTATTTCTATTTTATATACTAATACCTTTTAATTATATAATTTACAATTTGACCTCATATATTATAGATTTGCAAAATCCCCATAAAATATGAAATTATTTAAATTAAACACTAATTATTTATTTAAAAAAACATTACATCATATAACAATAATAAAACATTACAAATTTTATTTTAAATAACACCATTAGAATATTTTTCCCACATATGATCAATTAAAGCATATAAATTTAAATTTAGTACTTGTTTGCTTGTTAAGTTTATAAAATTATTTTAAATTTAGTACTTGTTTGCTTGTTAAGTTTATAAAGCTATGTGTTGTAATTGTTGTTTATAAAATGATTATATGTATTAAATAAAAAAGTTTAAATTTGAGGGACTAAGTATAAATAAAAAAAGTTGAACTCAAAAATAGAGTTGAGAATAGAGTTGCTCTATATATAGAGTCAATCTGCAGAAATCTCTATTTTAGAGTCAATTATAGAGTAGGGTTGGAGAAGAATTTTGCATTTTTACTCTAAAATAGAGTAGGGTTGGAGATGCCCTAACTCTACCATCAGAACAACTCTATCACATAAGTCTATCAAATTATCACAAATTATCCATTTTTTAGTAATCCACCCTATAAATAAATATCAATGGCATTCCTTGTAAATAAGTTGAAACTCCAAGACTACTTTACAAAAGGTACTTCAATTTTAATAATATAGATGAAGTGAAGAAAAAAAATATAAAAAAATAATCTATGTAACGTTTGATTAATGATATTGTATATTTATATGAGAAATGACTAGAAATGCCCCTCCTTCTGTTGCATTTTTCAAAAATGCCCCTTCCTATATTTTCATTATATTTTTCTACTAAACTGACCATTATATCCTTAATGAGACAAACCTAAATCTCCTTCTTCATCTGAACGATTCTCTCGCCGTCATCCTTGTTTTCCGGCGGTTAATTCCGACGACGATCTCGCTGTCGTGACATGCACTTAACTTACATAACCGGCGATTCAAGCTTGCTCCGTCAATATCTAGCTCGAATGACAATAAGATATGGTTGCTATGGTTGATGCTGGGCTTGTGTATTGGGAAAAGGGAGAGAAGGAGAAAGCACCGAGTCTGTATCGGAGAGCTGCGGAGCTTGGTGATGTTGTTGGTCAGTGTAATTTGGGGATTTCTTATCTTCAAGGTAAAATCTAAGTTCCCGTGTCTCTGATGGATTTAATTTTAGCCTGGAATTGCAATTTTAGTTGTTCAGGATTGATATTTACTTTATTATGGTATACAGAATTTGGATTGAGGTAATGGATTGGTGAAGCATTATCTGAGCAATTGCTTGCTTGTATCTGCAGTTCAACCCTCAAATCCGATGGAAGCAATGAAATGGTTGAAACAATCTGCAGAGAATGGTTACACTCGAGCACAATATCAGTTAGCTCTTTGTTTTCATCAAGACCGGGTCGTGCCAACCAATCTGCTAGAAACTGCCAATCTGCTTGAAACACCCCGACCCGATTTCTTTTTTTTTTATATACATCATTAACTAGTGATCCCATACTCACTAATCAGCCTAACGAGCACCCAACATCACAATAATAATAATGCTCAGCGGAAAACATAACATAAATAATACTCAACAACCATCACGCAACCAGCAACCTAAGTGTCAATTCTATACATCCCCTGTTACAGAATCTAACAACTTAGCGAAGCCCAACATCCCCAATATAACACACAAGTCCCTAGATCATCCTCCTCCTCATTGCCATGATCCCACGGTCACACAAGCCTTTACCTGCATCAACAACACAAATGAGATGCGTAAGTATTATAATAAATACTTAGTGAGGCAATCCTCCCAAGCAACAGGCTATACACACAAGCGATTAAACTCAAAACACAACAAACAAGCAAACCAGCCAAACAGCTCGGCCTGTGTCGATCGACACAACCCTCCAGTGTCGATCGACACTGCCCACGATTTGTGTCGATCGACACACTCCTCCCGTGTCGATCGACACACCCCTCTGTGTCGCCCAGAACGCCTCCAGCGATCTCTCCTCCGCGAAACCTCCATTACAACCGCTCCAAACCTCAACCCCGAACCTCTCAGAAGCCACACAAGGCTCTCACAACACAATCAAACAATCCACATCAAGTGAATCCATCAAAACATCACAACAATCACATAAAACATACAATCACAGAGATCTAATCGCTCAGATAAGCCATGGTCATGAAAAACGTTTGTTCATGAGAGCATATAGAGAGACTGATGGTAAAACTAACCGGAAATTGTGAGATTTTCCGGTTATTGCTTATTTACCTTCTTTACGTTGTATAAGTTATACTAATCCCTTAATAAGTTGCGTATAATCTTAAATATAAAAGTTCTTATATATATATATATGTTTTCACAAAAAAAGTCTCGCTCTCGCACATCCAATGCCAAACGTTTTGTTTCAAAACATGTTTTACATACATCTTAAAATTTTAGTTGAATTATTTGTTGAATCACCTAATTTTCATGTTGAATTGGTCTGAATCTGTAATTCTGAATAAAGATTTTAGTAAGTTTTTATTAAAAATTTAAATATCTTATTATATAAAAGTTGGATGTTCGAAGTAAGCAACTCGCTAGATCGTGACACGTGTCGATTTCAACGATCCGAGATTTTGACACGTGTCTATTACTAATTATAAAATAAACAATCCGAGATTTTGACACATGTCTATTACTAATTATAAAATAAAAATACTTATAATATAATAAAATAGATAATTATATGAAAGTTATAAAAATTTAAATAATTTTTAAAATACAAAAAGATAATTATAAGAAAATTTTAAAAAATATTATAAGATAATCATAAGTGAATTATACTTCCATTATAATTTTTTAAATAAGTTAGCAACTGGATCGTGACACGTGTCGATTTCAATGATCCGAGATTTTGACATATGTCTAATACTAACTATAAGATTTATAAAAATTTAAATAATTTCAAAAATACAAAAAGATAATTATAAGGAAATCGATTTTGACACATGTCTATTACTAACTATAAGATTTATAAAATTTTAAATAATTTCAAAAATACAAAAAAAATAATTATAAGGAAATTTTTAAAAATATAATAAGATAATCATAAGTAAATTATACTTCCATTATGACGTTTGACGTTTTGATAAGATACGAATTCTTTTGTCAATGTATAGGAGGTTGATGCGTAAAAAATAATTTCAATGGATGAAGATATTAAATTTTAAAACATGATTGATTAAAAAAACTTTATATTTAAAAATATTTGAAAATAATTAATAAATAAATATCAAAACTAAATTAAGAAATTTATATATATACATATATATTTCACCGAATATCTAATTTGTTTTTTGTATGGGTTATAAAAATTTTAGTTATAAACCCGTGTATATGCGGATTAATTTTTTTTTTTTGTTTCTTACACGGGTTATAAAATGCTTAGTTACAAATAATTCATAAATAAATAGGAAAATTAAATCAAATAATTTGTAAATATTTTACATAATATCTAAATTTTTCTTTTTAAACGGGTTATAAAAATTTTAATTTTAAACCCGCGTATACGCGGGTCCTTATCTAGTATTTATATAAACACATATAGATGTATAGTACAATTATGATTTTTTATAAATATACTTATATATAATAAATATAGATAAAAATAAATATATGTATATATATGTGTTTTTTATTTGTTGAATCCCAGTTATAATTTTAATTAATTAATGAATTAACAAAAAATAATTTAAAAGAAATATAATAGTTTTAAAATTAAGATAAGTTTAACAAAAAAACATTGAAGCATTGAATATACAGAATTTTTGAATTAATATGTATGGTAATAATTGTTGTGAAAAATCAATTATAGACATAATTGAGAAATTTCAAAAATCAAATTATGGTAACTTTACATATTAGAATAAATTTATGTGTGTTCGGTTAGTGATTTAAATAGAATCAAGAGCTTATATTGTGTTTGGCAAATATGATAGTCTAATTAAAAAAAAAAAAAAAGTAAAAAAGGTGAGATTAATTGTGGGTTTGCCACGTCAGCAACCAAAACCCTCTTTTAATGTATAGAAGATTAACAAACTATAGCATGGAAAAAAAAAAAAAAAATGTGAATGACCATTTCGAGTTAGAACGAGGCAATGATAAGAGAACGATAACAAATAAAAGTATAATATAAGATTTTATGATAGACATTTTTTAACGGAATAAATCCAATTTCTAACTATGTCAAAAAAACAAAGAAAAACAAAAATCCTTTTGTTAACTAGTTAAAATAATGTTATCGCATATTTCTGACCAATTCATGTAATAAGTTTTTAGAATAGAGTTAAGTATAGTGTATTGATAAATAAATAAATAAAATCTCTTATAGTCTAATCCTTACAACATTTCGCCAAATTGATTTTTCTAAGCTAATCAATATATGCCGTTGACAAAAAAAAAAATGTCTAATCCTTACACAAAATTGTGACGGCGTGATGTGGATATGTAGATCACCGTTAATGCTACGCATGTTTTGAAGTGGATACGCATTATTTAAAGGGATTTTTGTCAATCATTTTTTGTCAACGGCATATATTTTTTGATAGTAACTTGTTACTTGTTCGTTAAAAATAGTAACTTGTCCCGATAAAAAGGTATTTTTTGATAAATCGTTAATTGATTTGCTAGAATGTAGAATTTTATCAAAATGATTCGTTACTTGTTCTTAATTTGAAATTTCTTTGTGCAGATCCAATCACAAAAGCATTAATGAAGATTCAAGCTATAGTGAGACTTTAACGTGAGCTCTTCTCTCTTCCCCACTCTCTGACCAACGTTGGGATCTGTCTTTGATGACCAGTGATGGATTCGCCAGATTCCGACGAACAACAACGATATGTGTCTCATGCTCTTCTCAGTCGTCACCAGTAATCTCTTCGCCTTATACGCTTTCTCCTCTCGTTCCCAAGCTAACTCGCCACTCCACCATTCCAGCAATATCTCACTCGTTTTCTCAATATCTCTCTCTAATCCTCTGTGAGATTGATTTATCTCAAGGCAAGCTTGCTTAGATGGAGAAACATATGATCGAATATGGATCTATTTGTTAAGTTCTATGGGCTTCCAACTCAAAACCAATTGGCAATGAGTGGAGTGGCCCATATCCCTTTATATATTACTTAGGATCCCTTCCAACTTCCGATGTGGGACATTATGTCCTAATACGCCCCCTCGAGATGATGGCTCTTTGGCCATTAATCTCGGAATATTCGGGCTTAGATCGACAGCATCAATTTTTGGCCTTGTCGATGATTGGACCATCTTTGGGTCGGATCGGGTTGGACATGTGTGGATCGGGCTCTGCTACCATGTTAAGTTCTATGGGCTTCCAACTCAAAACCAATTGGCAATGAGTGGAGTGGCCCATATCCCTTTATATATTACTTAGGATTTATGTCCTAATACTATTGAGTATTGATCTTTCTCGACCAAACATTGTCTCTGGGGCTCAAAAAAAAGTTTGGGTCCATTTGTTTAATCGAGTAAAGAAGAAGAAGAATAGTAAACCGAGTTAGTTTGTGTACGTGTCGGGTCGGATTTTGCTGGTCTTAAGTGGTTTAGTATCGGTTTAGGTCATAAACCGCTCGGAGATTTCAAAATTTTAATTTGGGTGCAACTAGATTTGAAACTTTTGTTTTGTGGGGAAATAGAACGAAGTCCAAAGTTCGGGTGGATCTGTGGTTATATGATAGTTTCGAGGGGGAAATAGATCGTTTTCCCATAAAATTTCAATGAAATGTCTTTTTTAGGCAAGGCAAGATGTGACCTTTTCTCTACTTGGCCCTTAAATATTTTCTAACAATTTTTTGACTTTTTATAATAGATGAATTTCCATTCTCTCTCTCTTTTCTCAAGAGTTCGAAAAGTTTTGTTCGACTCTTTTCCTACTTAAGACAATTTTATCGGAAAATATGAATTAAGTGGTGAATCTGGCGACCAAATCTTCTCTATGCATCTTGGTAATTTTTTTGGTTTGATAGATTCTT